ATTTTTAGAATGAAAACATTCAAATCTTAACTAACTTTTAACCAGAGACCTTGGAGCCATATAATTAAAAAGACGAACTCCCTGATTGTGAGCCTTGGTAACAGGAAGTGCAAAGACGTTGCCAGCACTATCTAGTTGCTAGTTCCTGTTTTGTTTTCCCTCAGTTGTTGATCTGTGCTGATCCATCTTGTTTTACCAGGTCGGAGAGAACTTTGTCCCGCCCCTGCTCGACGCCGTCCTCATCGACTATCAACGCAATGTCCCCGCTGCCCGGGAGCCCGAGGTCCTCAGCACCATGGCGACCATCGTCAACAAGCTGGGGGCGCACATCACCAGCGAGATACCGCAGATCTTTGATGCCGTCTTCGAGTGCACACTAAACATGATCAACAAGGTGAGGCACAGCGAGCAACCGACTTTAACTCCATGCAAGTGAGAAACGAGGGCTAAACAACTTGTTTTTGTGTTCTTCTATTAGAACTTTGAGGAGTTCCCAGAGCACAGGACTCACTTCTTCTACTTACTGCAAGCGGTGAACTCTCACTGCTTCCCCGCATTCCTCGCCATACCCCCCGCCCAGTTCAAACTGGTGCTGGACTCCATCATCTGGGCCTTCAAACACACTATGAGGAATGTGGCTGATACTGGTAGGGCTGCCGGAACGCACACATTTTACAGTTATTTCATGCTCCTATTGATTAACAATGGCTGGAGCGTGAATACTAAATGTTGAGAACAATCCAGGTATTGTGTTCGATCCTTTATCACAGCCGAGGATTGTCTTCAAACAGGCAGAAAAAAACATTCATTCCATCTCATGATTTAAACCCTTTTCGTGTCATCATTTCTTAAATTGCTTTATAAAATCGTATCTTTAGGACTTTTTGGTGTCATTAGGACTATTTAATAATCACGACTTTGAATCGATCACGGGTGTATGTTTTATGATCGTGGCTCGTTTTTTTGTCCCATCTTCTTCTGTTACTGGTGAGAATGTGAGGACGTTTGATCCGAAGCTGAAGCTCTTCTCTTGTATCTGCTCGTCCAGGTCTGCAGATCCTCTACACGCTGCTGCAGAACGTGGCCCAGGAGGAAGCAGCCGCGCAGAGCTTCTACCAGACGTACTTCTGCGATATCCTCCAACACATCTTCTCTGTGGTCACCGACACGTCGCATACCGCCGGTGAGTTTGCACGAGCACACGCACACACACACACGTGAACCTGATATCTGCCTCTTTTAAGGATGAACCTATATTTAGCCTGTAGAATCTTTCTATTTACAGTGTCTTATACATAACAAATTACCAGTGCTCCGTTCTACAGTTGGCTTTGGAGGATGAACCAACCTCCTCATTCAAACTGCGGGAACCCAAATTAACCCTAAAGCTTAGATGAAATATCCCCATCCTCGATTGCTGCTGTGTGTCCTGCAGGCCTGACGATGCACGCGTCCATCCTGGCCTACATGTTCAACCTGGTGGAGGAGGGAAAGATCACCACGGTGCTGAACCCTTCCAGCCCCACCACCAACCAGGGCTTCATCCAGGAGTACGTGGCCAACCTGCTGAAGACAGCCTTCCCCCACCTACAGGAGTGAGTGCCCCCTCCGTACCCCCCCCCCCCATCCTCTGCTGGAGTGAGACCTCTTTTAACTGACTGCGCTCTGTGGGTTTTGTTTCAGTGCTCAGGTGAAGGTGTTTGTGACCGGGCTGTTCAGCTTGAACCAGGATATCCCGGCCTTCAAGGAGCACCTTAGGGACTTCCTCGTCCAGATCAAGGTGAGCTCGTCCACGTGAACAAGTCGCTTTGGACAGCGTCGCAGTGCCGATAGTCTCTCCTCGGGACAAATGCCAAAAGCAGTGGATGCCCCCCCACCTCCCCCCCCGCCTCCCCTCTGGTGGTGCTGTCTGTTGCCTTTGCCTCCTCTTTATCTCACCGCCTTATCAGCCGGTGAGCTGCTTCGCTGCCGTTTCCAGAAATAACATCTCCTGCGCGGCGAGGTAGTTCTGCTAAGTAGGCCGATGGTCATCGCCGGAATAAAAGGGTTGTTTTAATTATACGGTGGCGACCGCGCTGTGATTCATTTCTAGCCATCTGGCTTCGTTCCTTTCCTGTGGTTATTTTTCAGCTTAGAATTATTTTTTATTCATGATGAAACTGAACTTTTGAGAGATCAGGATTAGTTACACTAGTGACGCAAATAGCTGGTTCAGTTTACCAGGTAACATTATCATGAATAAATACAGTACATTTTATATTCATCTGATAAATACAGCTTTAACTTTTTTAAACAAAATGTAAGTCCAACCCGATGCTGCCATACAAATAAGTCTTTCAGACTGAGAGACATAAACACATTAGTAACAAACTGGTATCCAAATTATTGTGAACAATTTTGATAACAAAACAAATCTAGTGATCCTCAAGCACACATGAACTGATTAGAAATTGGTGGTCAAAGGTCACATGAAAACACATTTTAGACCAGAGCTAAGTAAGAATACATTTTCCCAAAAGTGTCTAACTGAATGGAATGACACATTTTGGATAAACGTGGATTTAAACTTTGTTGTAGACGCCATACGGTTTAAACTTAAAGAGCATCATCAGTGGGCTGTGTGCCCTGATGTAGGATCACTGATGGTTTTAGACGAGCTGTACTCTTTCTGAGCGCTAACACGACGTCTGCTTGTTCCAGGAGTTTGCGGGCGAGGACACCTCCGACCTGTTCCTGGAGGAGAGGGAGGCGTCGCTCCGTCAGGCCCAGGAAGAGAAACACAAGATCCAGATGTCCGTCCCGGGCATCCTCAACCCGCACGAGATCCCCGAGGAGATGTGTGACTGAGCCCCCCGGCCCTGCCAGACTGTACAGTAGTCCAAACAGACAGAACCCTCACCACAGCGAACGCAACGAAACCAGAGAGAGGCACTGAAGTGTGGCGGGATGCCGCCCGCCCGCCCTCCTTCCAGCCGGCCGCCCCACCGGATGTTTGTTGACCGTAACAACAACAACACCACCAACAACGAGTACATGATCGCTGTGGCGCCCTGTGGCCCTTTTTACATGACCTGCGTTTTCTATGCAGATGTTTTCTGTGTAAATTCTTTCCAGAAGCTTGCGTTTCGTCGGTCTCTGACTCATCCCAACACCTGCACGATGAGGTTCTGACGATCGACAACTTCACCATCTTACGGTTTGTTCGGTTCCTTTCACGTCCCACGGTCCCGTTTTTTCTTTTTTTGGTTCATCCCAGCTCTTCCCTTTTTTTCTGATATATCTGTTTATATATAAATATATTATATATACACACAGTGTGAGCAGGTTTCTAGACCCGTTTGTGTGACGGACAGGAAGTGGTACCGCTCGTCCGGTGCCCCGCGGCATCGTGGGGGAATGTGAATCTAAAGGATTAATGAATGAATGAAGGAGGAGAGGTGCTGCTCCGCGTGGCGCCATCGGTTGCTCGTGAGTTCTGCTTCACCTAAAAACAAAACGACTAACAAGTGTGCGAATGCTGCCAGCAGGGTTTTTTCTTTTTAGGGAAAGCAAGACCGAATATGTGCATATCATCCCAATTGTATAGCATCTTTAATACCATGGGAACGTTTTCTTTTTATTGTGTTGATTCTTTTTTGTTGTGGGTGTGTGCTGTCGCCGAGTCGACATCAGCGTTTTGTTTTCCTCTAAGAGGATTGTTGCTCATGTGTGAGCCTTCATCAACGGGATGTTTTAAGGAAGTGGTATTTATGGGTTCTTAGTTGGTTGCATCTTTATAACAACTCCTGTTAAACTCGGATGGCTTGAGATTTTTTTGAATTGTACTAATTTAGATTGTTTACCAGTAGTAGTGCTCCAACACGCTACCTTTTAGAGCAAAGTGAAAACAATAAAACTGGGTTTACATTTAATTTTGTATTTTTGCATTTTCTTTCAGTTCAACCTTTAGTTCAGTCCGAATAAAACAAACGGCTTTTCTTTTTACTTTTTGTCTAGAGAGCAAATAAATTGCCAACGAGTTGAATTAGGAAAAGAATGTATAAATCCGAATAAGCACCCAGTCTTTAGTGGCAAATTCCCCATCGCAAGGTGTTACATTTGTTGTGAACTTTTTGAACTGATTAAATCTGAGAATTTTATAACCACGCCTTCGCTTGGAATTTGTCTCACTTTAACAGGGTGTCATTTTCTACAATCCCCCTCTACTCCGGATCGAGCATTTATGTGAACCATTTGTTCCATGCCGCTCTCAGGCAGAGAACTCGACCCCTCCGGATCCAGACCTGTGACCCGGGCTCTCCTCTCGCACACCCACCCGAGGAGGACAGCGGTTGTCTGTCGCAGTTGTCCCAGGGACTTTTTCTGTTTCGAGGTGTGTTTGGCCAAGGTCGGTGCTGTGTGTCCGTGCCCGCCCCCCGCCGCTAAAGCCCCCGCTAACACGCTGGTATTACAGCCGGCGATACGTTGAAGCCTTCATCTGATGCAACCGGAGAGCGAGTTGAGCGATGAGTTGCATGCGACTTCGTGTTGCGGGTCACCCGGTGTTTTTATGGTTAGAACCTGAACTGTTGTCATGGCACTTCCGCTTGATTTGGAGTCCCGATAATCACAAGTTCAAGCCTCCGCCTTGATGCTTCCATATTTGAACCCTCGGAGGGCCGTAGTTCAGTGCGGCTGTAACTGGACACACGCACACTTCCTGACCCAGATCCTCTGCAATTCTCGGCATCTGCTGTCGAGGAGAAGAGGGGACAGCTGGGCTAGTGCGGCCCCCCTCCACCGCCCAATAAAAAAAAGCCCACTCCCACACCTTCTCCTGCCCCCCTCGCTTTGGGCAGGCTGTGTTATTAATACCCCTTTGAGTACGTCAGACAGGAAGAGCCCGGTTCACACACCCGCTGACCCTCCACCCAGTGGCACACGAGTCTCACGCTGATTCCTCCAAACGGGCTTTGAGTCCTTCAGGGAAAAAAAAAAAAAACGAACCAGAATGACAGCCGTACAATCAGCATTTACATTATTTATTGTTCCACCATCATTAAATCCTTCGACATTTAGAAGCGAGCGGTCTGCTGACAAACTGGGGCAAAGTTAACACGATGCGCTGCCCCCTAGTGGAGCGAAAGCAGAAACACTTCATTCATGTTTTCCGTGTGTGTGCTGTGCAGTCACGCTGCAGTACAGACAGGAAGCACTACACCTACAGCTCTGCACGTCTCCCCAGAGAGACGCCCGTCGCCACGGGAACATCGTTGAATGCCGATACAGGGTTGGCGCGTACGCGGCGGGATCGGCGCTTTTAACAAACAAGCTGTGTGGAAGGAGCCATCCAGGCCTTTAGCGTCTGATCCGAATGGTTCAGATCTTGCGTGTATAACGACGGAAAAGAATAAACTAGCCTCTCTCGCGTCGTCCTTTGGTAGAAGCTCTGGCAGCTCCGACACTGAATCCTAAAGATGCACCTCGAGGTGGAGCGAGTGCATTTTGCCAACGCGCTGCGCTTCGTCCAGACATCCTGTTTTCTCCCCCTCAGGACGGACCACAGCTGCACAAATAAGAAGCCAGCTGATTGACGGTGATCGATAATGTAGTCACTCCAGTGAAGGTCAGAGAGGGGGGAGGGGAGGAGAGTGTGAGGCTGGGTATTATGTGTGGGGGCTGTGCTGTCGGGTGGAGGGGGAATCACAGCGGGAAGTGATTTTGCTCCAGAGTCCTCGCTGAAGGATCTCGCCTCCTCCTCTTCGTCCTCGCGAGCTCCCACTCAGCTCTCAGGCCCGTCTCTTAGACGGCTCTGCTGCCTTTTCCCCGTCGGGGCCTTTAGGTGGTCCGGATCTGAGCGTAGCGCATTTTAGATCTACAGAGAGAGATGAGTTATTGACAGGGACATTGTGGGAATGGTGGTCTGTGTGCACAGAGAGTACCTGGGTGTCTTCTCTGAACTCTGTCTGCCTTGAGCGACACTCTTAAATTGCGCTTCCAGTCTGGAGTAGATCCCACCTGTAGGCTGCAGCAAACACACACACACGGTCCAGAACAAAAACAATCCGACATCAGGCAGCTGTAAAAACTAGGACATCAGGGCTCGGCCCCCAAATCATGGCCTCACCGTGTGAAACCGCCCCGATGCTGAATAAATAAAAAAACAAACACTTTAAACGGGAACAGAGTCTTGCCTCTTTGGTGTCCTTCAAATTGCTCTGCTCTTCGTCTCCGAACCTCATCTTCGTCAAGTAGCCGATGATCTCCATCATGCGACGCTGGTCTGGTTCGTAGGAAATAAAAGCACAGCAGGACACACGCTGATGTTGACTTAGCGGGAATGTACGGAGGCCTGTAGGGGGACTTCATTCAAATGATGTCATCCAAAACAGCTTTGTGATTTTCCACCTGCATGCATTAGTTTAATTAAAAACAAGAGTAGGAAATTTCATAATCCGATTAGCATTTTCATGAACTTTTATATAACAATTAAATGTCAACATACTTTTTTGTGTCGGAAGCAGTTGGTCTCAATTAGAGGTTTACATCAACGTTTGAATAAAGTCTCCCACTGGCTTAATACCAGTTTAAAAGAATAAAGTAAAAGCAGTTAAAAGACTCATTTGAATAGTTGGACGCATAATTGATGTGCCTGGAAATAGAAAAGTATTAATAACGTCTGTCTTTACCTTCTTCCCTCTGAGCGTCCTGGTTGTATCTTATGGAGCGAGAAATGTCCCACTTGTTCTTCTGGACACTCACGCTACAAAACACACACACATCCGGACGTCAAATCAATCCGTGGATACAGAAACGTGCCATCGCGAGTACGGGGATTTTCTAAATGGCCGCGTGTTTGCAGGTGAACTCACGTGAAAGGTGTGTTGTCCCTGGACGTTGTCTGAGGGAAAGGAAGGATGTAAGAAATCATTGACACGTACTGTATTTACCAACAAATGTACTATTAATACAAGATCTTTAAATGTGATGCAAATCTAAACAAACTGCCTGCAGTGCTTCTGGAATAATTCAGTAAAATTATTCTAGTTTGTATAGAATGCTGTATATACATAAAGATGCATGTAAAATAGTGTGAAAAGCAATATTTAAATATTTTAGACGTTCCCAGGAATAAATAATAATAGAGTTGCGTTCTGCAGTGTTTCCGAAGGCTCACTTTCTCTGCTTTGTCTTTGCGCTGGAAGTTTGGGGAGGACATTTGTTTTTTCAGAGGTCTTTGGGCTTTCTTGGCCTTCTTGGCAGCTGGAAACAGAAGAACACACACACTAAATAAAAAGGAACATGGTGAATACTCCGTGTGGACACGTGACGCCCTCTGCTGGCCAGGGAGAGGAACTGCTATATTTTCCATCTTTATTGAAAAGGGGCAAAAAGTACTGTGATAATAAACACTGGACTTGAAATAGACTGGACAAAAAAGCGGTGTGATTTAGCGCTAAATATAGAGAACTGTTACGTTATTTGCTTTGATCGAACAGTTAAAGGAAGTCAAAGTCAGGTCATTCTGAGTAACGGCAAAAGGTTGTGATTTCAATCGATAACTCAGCAAGGTGCAAACAATCTCTACGAGAGAAAATGAGGAAAAAACACTTTTGTTTTACAAAATTGATCCAATCCACTAGTTGATTGATCAGTTAGTTGTTGAAATGAATAAAATATGTTTTTACAATGAACACTTGAAATGATGCTACTTGCAGATTTAAATGTAAACCAGTTTTACTTTCTTACAGCCGACGTTGATATTTTTCAATATTTTGCTGCTGCCCTCGTCTACATTACTCCATAACTTTCCTCCAATCTCTGCCTACTGTGGATGATCCGCTGACCACGGAGAAGCACCTCAACACCCCCACTTAAATAATCACTTCACACTAATACTTTGGAACAATTCCGTTGTGAAAGATAAACAAGAAGATACTTCTTTTTTCTTCTTTCCCAAAAAACAAGAAAGAAATCCTTCTGCAACGTGTTACTTGCGAGCCGCCGCAAAGAGCCACCGGGCTTCCTCACCTTGTTTCTTGGACATCTCCTCTTCGTCCCCCACCTCATCCTCGGTGACCTCTGACCCCGTGGTGTACTCCTCATCCTCTGACAGGAGAGTCTGCTGCCTCTGCGAGGGTGAAGGTCACACATACTACACGTGACCACTCAGCTACTGCGAGGACGCCGTGTCCTTGGTGTTCAAATGGTCTCAGTTAAAGGGTTAAATTCTTACTGTTACTGTAATTGTTTTTGTAATAGTGAAGTCGGGAAAGTTCCTACCAGTTGCAGACTCCAGTTTTTCAAAAGGGAAAACTGAAAGAAAAAAGAAAGGAGTCAGAACGCGACAAAATGTACGAGACGGAGAAAGAGGACGAGGACTCACGGTGCCGCCGTCTCCTCTCAGTGGTCCCAGCAGGGTCGGCTCCAAGAGGACGTCGCAGTCCTGAAGCTTTTCTGCACTGGACGGACTCTCCTCGGTACTAACACACACAAGGCCGCGTAAACAAAACAAACCTCAGTAACGAGAACGCCTGGAAACACACACACACACACACACACACACACACACACACACACACACACACACACACACACACACACACACACACACACACACACACACACACACACACACCTCTCTGCAGGCGGCGAGTTGGACAAACACACGGCGTCTCTGTGCAGAAGCAGGTCGTTGAGGACTCGGGTCGGGGCCGAAGTCGCCTCGTCGCAGCTCTCTTCATCGGGGACGATCACTATGTGGTCTCGCATCCTGCAGCCCTCGACACACAAACACAACTGTATTTAAAGGTTTATATATTTCTACGGTAATATTGTCTGTGAATGTTGGACCAACAGGATTGGAAGTGGTTATGAAAGGTTAATAGAGCATCAGTAGCCACGTAGCATGTGTGTGTGTGTGTGTGTGTGTGTGTGTGTGTGTGGTTCTACCTTGGGCATACCGGACGGGTCAAAGCGGAGAACCCTCTGGTTGCAGCAGGGGTACATTCCTGCCCCGTGCCAGGCTTTATCCGGACCCCCGCCGCAGTACAGCACACTGTCCGGGTGGTACTTGCAATGGGTCAGCTCTGCACACACAAACACCTACACACACACACACACTAGATTATTCAGCGCTCAGGTTCACCGCACCCAAAACCCTTGCATGCTGCAGACCAACACACACACACCTGTTGGCATCGGGAGCAGGTCAGGTAGTTGATGGTACCCCAGATCCTCCAGTAGACCAGGACCCAGGACTTGAGCTCCTCATACAGACCTGTGATGTATTCGTGCACATCCCAGCTCTTCTGTCTGCAAACGTGGACACAAACACGCACCGGCGCTTACAGACAGACTCGGACCGAGAACGCGACAATGAAATACGACTCGTCCTCGTCGTCCGCGTATTGCTGCTGAACAGCTGAACGAACACGGGGGGGGCGCCGCTGTAATACTTAGTGTGCGAGTAGACGATCTCTCCGCGAGCGTCAACGTTGATTTTTCCTGGAACGCAAGAAATCTTCCTCTCCGTGTCTTTGGTCAGCAGCTTGAGGCACAAACCACACCTGGGAGTGGACACACAAATAGTGAGGCCGACACGGCCGAGAGGCTCGGAAAAACAAAAGGTGTTTAACGATGAACGATGTTGGTGAAAGGTGAAAGGTCAAACCTGTAAAGAGTCGAGGCGTTTCCCGGTGAATCCCTGCTGCGGTAGTTGGGATCAAAGACACGCTCGATCTTCTTCTGAAACAATTTGCTTTGAGAGGGAGACAGAATTCCTCGCGTCATTTTATGCTGTCGATAATAGGAGTGTTTATTTTAATACCATAATCAAGCTGAATCTGTGAGGATGTCCTATTTTAATAGACTTCTCTCTTCACATATTCGAACAAGCATCGAGCACTTATAATAAAAATCAAACAGAGCTCAACGATGAGGATTTCCTGCTGGTCCAGAGAAAGCCAGAAAGCCACTTTGGGCCAGTAGATAAAATTCTTAAAAAGTAACTAAAAGGTACTGTTCACCCCAAAATCTAGAGTGCAAGTTGTCTAGCTTTGGAGACATCGGCCGCCAAGATGTCCTTCTTCTCTCCAATACAACTATGTAGGTAAAGGTTTCCATCCCCATCGTGAGCCGTCCGATGTAGGAACTGCGGTTGAATCAAAGGTTCTTTTCTTTTTAAGAAAGTGCTCACAACAAGGTCCGTGGATTATCTTGAGTGGCCGGCTCAGGATTTCTGGAGACATTGCTTTAAAAATGTATATTTTTGGACATGAGCCATTGAGTCCCATAATATCGGCGAGAAGTCAGACATCACTACGGCCGATATCTCCGACACTCAGCAACTCATCCAATGACTATGCACATGGGGAAACTCAGCAATGCGGGTGCGAGGAAAACATTTCGGGAGGATTTTGGGGCAAATTGTCCATTTAAACCCAATTCTTTCAAGAGCACGTGCACAGTGACCATCGGACGCTGCTGAAAAAAGAACGTTCATGAGCATTTCATTAGTCCAGCTGGGCAGCGTTACCTTTTGAACTTGTCTTTTTTGTCCCTGATGTCGTCGGCCTCGTTGTGGCTGAAGAGCTCGGCGATGCGCGTCGCCAGGTTGCTGTTGATGCAGTTCATGTTGCAGGGCGTGGCCACGATGGCGCTCATGTGTTTGTGGCAGTACTGGATGCACTCCTCCACCTGATCGTGGACAAACACAAACCGGTCCTGTGAGACCTTTCGCAGCGACGGTGAGCTCAGTTTTCAAAGGTCCAACAGAAATGTTACTGAAACACTAGAAGTGCGTCTATTAGATTAGTGGTCTAAACAACTTGGGGGCAAAAGAGCAGCTACACTCTTAACAGCCATGATGCGACATCAACTTAACAAAGCTCTATGTGTGGGACCTCTGGTTTTTCCTGGACTAGGTCACATGACCCGTTATTATAAAAGACATTTGCAAGCTGCTGCTGGATATTACATGGTAGCCAGGCAACGCAAGGCAATCAAATACATTTTCGGAAATCGGAAAAAACGAAAGGCCCAAAGTACGTCACCACACCAAGCGTCACAACACTTACTAACGTATCCATCTTCAAGAACTCGGAGGAGATGAGGATTGAGATCACATTGCTGGGCTCTGTAACCGACAAACACCACGTGACCATCCAAGCGAAAACCCCACAACAGACCAACAACACGACACGCAGCCGGTGGCTCGCCAATAACACACACACACACACACGCACACACACACACACACACACACACACACACCGCGTATGCTGACCGGTCAATCAGGCGCCATCCGTAGGGTTCACACAGACAGGTGAGTACCAGCTCCCATGGGTGGCATGGTGATATTTGCTTTTGTTTAACAGTCTTCCCGGGGGGCTTTACCGAGGCGGGGTTTGTCCTTGTTGCCCTCCCCCGCCGAGTTCCTCCTCACGTAGTTCATGAGCCAGTCGAAGATCTGCACGTCGCAGTGGACGGAGATGTCCACCTCCTCCCACCTCTGGGTGTCCACAGACAAGTACTCAGCGAAGTAGCGCATCTCTTTAACCAGGAGGTCTCTGGGACAAGTGAAGTCCTGCTTCAGGTTCTTGGTTTCGTCGCACACGTGGATGACCATGTTGGGACTGTGAGGAGAGAGTTACAAACACGGTGAGCAACACCCAACGTCATACTTTCTGCCGCTGGCTTTACAGGCTTCAGGATCTGAGAGACTGCAGGTGAGAGGTCCTTTTTCTCCGGTCGGCAAACAGCGGCCAAATTGCTGCGAGAGTCCACAGAGTTCACCATAGAGTGGTACTGCCGCCCCATATGAGCGCAGTGCAGATCGGCCATGAGCCGAGCAGTGGTGCACGCTGACGTGCACTAATGTGCACTCACACTATGGAATTGAAAGCAAGAAGACTCACTATTTAAATACACAGTCACAGAGAGACTTCATACTTCTTATCTCAAGATATCAAATAGCTGTTAATGTTATATTCATGCTTTGAATCCTGAATATTGCACCTTTAAAATAGAGCGTGCGTATGTGTAAAGAATCAAGATCGAGCGGCAGCTCTCGATACTCACTCTCGTGGCTTCTGCGGTTTGTCATCCTCCTCAGCGGAGGCTCGTCTCTCTTCTTTCTCCACAGCACCAACACTTCCTGTGGCCGGTGATTTGGAGCCTGATGAAACCGGGAGGACACAAAATGTAAGGATATTACTCCGAATCCACTTCTCAAACAGTAACTGTCACAGCTGCACACAAATTATTGCACTGCTGTAAGACTTAAGCTTTTTGTAATCCGTGTCTTCTACTGGTCAGTTCTCTGGACAAATGTAGCTGTGCCTGAACTATTATATCTGACAAAGCGATAAGGATAGTCAGCATGTTCACATTAACTCTTAATAACTCTAATAAATGAAAGCATGGTATATTTGGACTGGATAGAAAATATGATTTAAAAAAAGCTTTAAGAACAAAATATATTAGTGATGGCAAACTTCCAACCATTTTAAATGACATAAAATGCAATTTAATACCTGTTCTCAGGAGTGTATCGGCAGGAGTATGATGGACAAAGGTTGTCTGACCTGTAACTTTGCTGCTGCTCTGGCTGCCTCCCGTCTCCACCTCCTCCTCAGCGTCCAGCGGCGCGGTCAGGCCCTCCGAAGGCGAGGCGCTTCCTTCCGTCAGCGCGTTACTCTGGTTGTCCACGCGAGGAAAAACCCCGGCGTTCTTCAGCTCCTCAAAACGACGCGCACACTGGGAGATCATATCAGGGACACAGTATTATTTCTCATCAACCGGCCAGACAAACCTTACGTTTCCAGACCGTTGGGATGATTGGTGGATGGGATCGTTGGACGGACGGCGGGGTGGATGGATGGAAGCACTCATAGTCACCCAGACACTCCAGTTACCTCCTTGGGAGAGAATCCTGGAACCAGCTTGGCTACGTTGTCCCAGTTTATGGGCTGGGGAAATCCCCCCAGAGAGCCCAGCACCATGTCCAGAACCAGCACGTTGTTGTCATACGGAAAGTTGTTGTTGTCCGAGGAGAAGCGACTCATTTCTACAGAGGCAGAGAGAAGACAAACAAAAGGCAGCAACCGCAGAATGAACGCCAACATCGGCTTGGTCATCGTATGTGAATGATAACATTATTACTCGTCAATCAGCAGAAAATGAATCGGCAACTATTTAAATAATGGCTCTGTCTTATTCATGTGGTTTTATGGCTGTGACATAATAATGAGAATGTTAGTTAATGAAAGCCCGAATCAAAGTTAATTTTATTGCGGTCATTCCACTACTTTATAGTATTATTTTTTTTACAATGAAATAGGTCATATGGCATAACTTTATCCAGTGTCTGCAGAGCATCACTTAAATATTAGCTGCAATAGAGAAACTTGGTGTGTGGAGGTGATGCTGCGCAGGCCTCTCTGTCCTGCCGCTGCACCAACATCAGATGCGTTCACGGTCAAATTAGATCAGGAGCCTGTCTTCACGCGGTTAGGTGGTTTCAGAGGATAAGATATGGTCGACATACTTATCTGGTGTCGGAGATATTCCCCCCGTCTCCCCGTACAGTAAACCAAGCCGGTGGATGCTTATGTCATTGTGTACGGATGGTGCTGATGCTGCGCCCCACTCCTACCGGCTACTGCAGATAATGCTAGCTAGCTAACTTCGAGGGACGGGATATGCTGCCTTCAGGTTGATCTCGTAAATTCTCAAACATGAACTACTCAGAAAACACGTTACGAGAAACAGGAGCACCGCAGTCCCGGCGAGGCAGCATCAGACGGTCTTTGGGTTTCTTCCAAAAAAGTCACAATATACACATCATTAACCACTTTACTCTGCCAAAGTCTTGCCACGGTGAAGTACGTAGACGTCAATTCCGAAAGATGTTTTTGAGAAATCGGACCATCCGTTTTGACTCTTTTAAGGTCGATACGATATGCGAGGTCAAATATTTACTTAACTACTGCTGCGCTCGTAATTACGGTTTTTCTCAATCGTCCCTGAAAGCATCATTAGCTTTAATGAGCTAGCATGCGAGAGGTCAAAGTAACGTTATTAAGTGCTTACTTACTTCAGTCCTTCGTAAATGTTAAGCCCGGTAGTAAGGGAGGATTTTATTGCGAACTCAGAAGTCAAGTCCTAAACAGATTTAGAGAAATAAACGCTGTTGGGTCTCTTCGTTTGGGTCCTGCGGACTCGTCCCAGTTGACGCACTGCAGCAGGCTATGCGTCCTGTTGCTTAGAGACCGCGGCCCTAAATCCGTCCCCGGACCTCAGATCAACTAAAATACAAAACTATTCATGGCAATAACATATAAACAAAATAAGCTCTCTTGGTCTTAAGGGTGTATCTGAACTCTGACAAGTTGCTGCTGATGTGAAATGGGACTCTATTACTAATTAAATCTACTTCATATTCCAACTTTCCTCTTGATAAAAGGTATTACACAAAAGGAAAAACGTGATTTTTAATATTTATTTTCAAAATAATTGTATTAAATATTTACAAAATTACAATCTATGACCAAGAAATAGCATAAAATGTGCAAAGTGAGCCCCTTTCTCATTCTGAATGAATCCAATCACATTTGCCTCAAAGACAACGCGGAACACCAAGCAGAAAAAACATGATTATGTCATAAAACGTTGCACAACGATGTACCAGTGTGCCTCATTAACTTAAACATGGAACCAATTATTGTTATTCAACAATATCAAGTCATTAGGCTACATCTTAAATTAGACATTATTTCTACCGTATTAAGAGAACACATCCAACTTTCTTTCTTTCATAACAAATGTAAGTATGGACTCCTAATTTGAGACACACTGGTCCTTAACCGAAAAGCATGACAGGAAACCTGTGCATGGAAACCCCTCCGGGCCTTTAACCTTACCAGAAGGCCATGGTGGCATTGGATGATCTGAAGAGAAAATCTCAATGGTCTCTGGTGTCCTCAGATATCCATCATCTACTGATTATGAGTCAAGCTTCAGAGTAAATGAATACTGACTGAGCCAACTCCTGGCTGGTGAACTCCTACAGACTTGCACGCAGAGAAAAACACACATGCACAAACATCACAAGTCAGTCTTCTCTGGGATGTTTAACACCGTGCTGGAGGCCAAGCTGGAGTTTGACGTTGCCGGTCTGAAGGGGACCGGCGTTTCTCTGTACGCCGACTCCAACAGCCCATCCATGGAGGCTGCGGCGGAGGCTGAACCGAGGCCTTGGGTGACCCCTTGGGTGGGGATGGCGTTCACTTGCTGCTCCTGAGCGAGCCTCTCCATCTCTGCGTGCTTTAGGCCCCTCCTCTTGCCCAGGACCTTGACGTAGTTGGCGGGGACGAGTCCTGTGGTCTGGCCGTCCAAACTAGCCAGCAGCCAGCCACGCACCTTGGACTGGTGCTCTAAACGGGAGGGGGATGCAAAGGTCATGAGCCATTGGGTTAAACTATCAACTATGTTTAACTAAGTCAGTTATTTTGTCCCCAAAGCATGCCTTCCTCTTCCATTAATGACTATACATTTGCCGATGGATAGACAAACTCTTACAGGCCTTCGGACGGATGCAGGAGACAACATGCACAAATAATGTCACGTGGACAGGAAAGCAAGAGTTGGAACGCCACCTCTTCCTGATGAGGAGAATGTCCTCTCTGACTTGAGTGAGATGTTGTTAAACCAACATCCAGCACTTGATGGAAGAGCGCTCACCTTTAGGGGCGAGGTTGAGCATGTCTCCCGCCCGCAAGGAAATCTCCTCCTCAGACGCGGCTGAAAAGTCGTACTCAGCTCGCGCCACCACGTGGTCGTCCTCCCCGCTGGCCCAACGGGAGGCTGAATGAGGAAACGCAAAAACACCAGCACTTGTTAAGTTTTGGAGGAGGAAAATACTGGTTACCATCGGTGATCTCACAGTTTGCCTCTCCGCAACAAGATGGGAGTTTTCATTCCCGGGAGTTTGTACAATGGCATTTGCAGAAAAGTAAATACATATGCATAGCGCAATGTAATTCCCTGTCAGCAGTAATTGTGGTCTACTGCAAAGAACTCCGGCAATATGAGGTAAAGCTGCTGATCTAGTGCAGAGACCCCCAGGAATAAGGGGGGCGGCTCCTAAAATTATAGTGATGTGTATACAAATGTGGAAGTTCAACACCACACATGCAAAATCATATATCGTAGCCTCACCGGTCTCTTCAGAGCCAGTGGCCGAGCTCAGCAGCTTCCAGATGAGGTAGGGTCCCCCCAACACCACAGCAAAAAACAGAAGGATCGGCCAAGACTTCACGGGCTGACCCTCAAACCTTGCTCCGTCCAATCCAGGCGCACTTGTCGCCAGGGCATCGGCGGCACTGTCGGCCCACAAGTCGTCTACCTCGGCGTCCGTCCTTCGCCCCAGCAGCCTCTGTAACCTCCGATAGAGGTAGCGCAGCGTGCGCACAAGAGTAAAGGCTGACAAAACCCTGGTGAGGTGGGAACGCAGCCGCGTCAGGTGGTTTGCCACGTCCAGCACAGCGCGGAAACTGTTATACACCGCCGAGAAGGTGGCGTCCAGCATCATGCTGACCGAGCCGAAGGCCTGGACGATGCTCTCGATGGACTGGAAGGCGCCGCGACTGCTCTCCTCCGCCTGCTGCACGAAGCGGCTGGGGGCGACTTCTTCGGTGTTGCTGAGGCGGCTGTACCCTCCCAGGCCGTAGCCCCCGCCGTGGCTGTAGGGGCTGTAGCCGCCATACATGGAGCTCCCATAGGGGCTGTAAGAGGAGTTGAACGAGCCGTACGATGGACGGTAGGCCTGCTGGACGGGGCGGGGAGGCACAGGGGGCACCATGCGGGTCAAGACGGGGGGGCCTGCCGAGTAGGACGGGCCAGCGGGTGGTCCAAAGGTTACAGATCTGTTTGGGGACAAGATCAAGGGGCGAGGACAGGAGGTTAAAGATTCTCAATGATTTAATTCGGTTGATCTCCCTCAAAAACAATGGTAATCGATAACCTTCCTCACACGGGGTCAAATCGAGCTACGTTCGAGCTGCAAAGCTTGTGAGGAGACATGTAGGGAAAAACTAGCGTTACACGAAGTAGTGAGGGGAAAGAGTTTACTGGTTTGAGTTAAGGTTAGTGTTTAGAGTAATGTCATGACGTCACGCTACATTTAGTAAAAGATACGTCAGGGCCTCATTGGGCCTAGCTGACGCTAACGTGCTACTTTGTTTAAACGGCTATCGTCGGTAAAACATTCTGTCATATGAAAACGGTTCGATGGGACAATGGTTCAATGGGCCATTGATTGAGTTAGTACACCGCGCGTGCAGCTGGATTAACGTTAGCTAATAAAGCGACAACCGCGAGGCAGCTACGGTCAGTAAACACGACGCGGGTCTTAGCAGCACACCGAGCTAAGCTAGCTAACGTTAGCTAACGCGACTATTACAGCCTACCTGTGATTTATGGGCGCACTCATTGCTCCTGGAATTCGCCTTTCCCATGGCTTTTGTGGAGGCTGCGCATCCATCCCTAAATATATATATATATATAGTTATATATATGATAGCCACAGATAGACCAATAATGTGAACTCTTTTCCGGACCCTGACCCGGCTTCTTGTGTTGCGTTTCCGGGGTCACCTCGTAATTTCCTCCATAAACGATTTCCCCATCGCTTCATCTTCTTCTTCTTCTTCTTCTTCTTCTTCTTCTTTTGGTTTACTGGCAGTTGGCATCCTTCTTATTGGTGCATTACCGCCACCTTCTGCGCCGGAGTGTGGATCAGCCACTACACCCCTCCCTCCAAAAAAAGTAAATAAAGAAATAAAAATAACTAAACACACACATATAAATAAACTGAATAAGGCAAGGCAAGGCAATTTTATTTGTATAACACTTTTCATACACAAGGCAGACTCAAAGTGCTTCACATTATAACATTTCATACAATAAAGTGAAATAAAATGCAGGAATTAGAAGACAATTAAAAACAGCAAATAAAATTATAAATTAAAATCTTATTTAAATTGTTTAATTAAAAGCAGAGAATAAGTAACTCAACTATTCCTATCCATACACTCACATACAAATACCCCAATCATCTTTGCACCACATCCCTGCATTTCCATCATATCCGATGAAATACCCCAGTGTTCTTTAGAAAGGCTAAAAGTGATCCCCCCTGTGCTCTCTCGCCTACAGTTAGTAGTGTCTGTAATGTGCATCCATGCACCCCTGATTCCCTCAGCTGATTACTCAGCCTCTCCCTTTGCACCTCATGCTTGCAGGACCTCAACACAATGTGCTCAACCGACTCCTCCTCTTCACACCCTTCACACAACCCTGTCTGATGCTTTCCTATAATTCTGTGTTTTGTTTAGGGCACAATGGCCTAACCTTAACCTAGTCATCACTGTCTCCTCTCTCCTGCCTACCCTTGTACCTTTGACACTGTTTTGTAAATAGTATAGATGCCTCCTTTTCTCCACTCTGTCCCACTTTTTTTGCCACAATTCGTTGATTTTTCCCCCCAAACAATATACTTGACCTCTGCTTTACTGATAGCAATGTGCAATTCTATGTTTCCTTTATTCAGTGCCCTCCAGCTCGCCTGCCCCCTCATTCCCACTAAGAGTTAAACATGACCTCCCTGATTATTTATCCTTGTGGCTGACTGGAGGACTTCGTATAGATCTTGCCGGCTGTTTGAATGGCACGACCTAGTACTCGTCAGGGTTGGAGATGAATCAGAGCATATCATCACCCTTTCCTGCTTTGTTTCTTCCATCCATCGCAGTGCAATGAGTACTGCCAACATCTCCACTGTGTAGACCCTGAGATTATTGGATGTTCTCCTATTGATAGCGATCCGTTTATCTACGATTGCCACCCCACACCAGGTCACCTTTAACAAATGCCAGTCTGTGTCTGGCCACACAAGTGTCCATGGAGCCATCACTGGGTAAACTACCAAGGGGCTTATCCTCAGATCATATACCTATCGTTCGCTACCCGACCAAAGTTTTCCCTCATTTTCCTTCTCCCATTCTCCCAACACACCGTCAACACCTCTTTTGCAGGGTGAGAATCAGGGTGTCCTGTGAATTGGCCCAGCAATTTGCCATCAGCTGTTTCCTCCTTAAGTCCACAGGCATTTCTCCCATGCATGCCTGCAGGGCCGGTACTGGTGATGTCTTAACAGCTCCACTACACGCTCTCAGTGCCTGCGCCTGAATCACATCTAGTTTACCAACATGAGCCGACGTGCTGCTGATCCAAATGCTATGATGCCATTTTATCCAGCTGTATATTCTCCGACCAATTCCCAGTTTATGCAGCTTAATTAGAAAGCCTCCTTCCACATCATATCGAATGCTTTTTCTCTGTAAAAAACCCTGCTATGATGGACTAATTGTTTGCTTGAAACCTTCTGATTTTATTCTCTAGCCGTATTACTGGTGTTCCTTCCCTTCCTGAATTCACTCTTACAACTTCCCCTTTTCTCAAGCTCATATGTTAACCTTCCTGTTATCATTTGTTCCATTACTTTACAAATGTTGGATGTTAGCGCTATTGGTCTGTAGCTGGTGGGGTTTGATGGATCCTTGCTGGGTTTTCTGATTGGAATCACAACTGCCTGCATGAGCATTTCAACTGAGCTACATTTCCTAAATGTTTTAGCATTATGTAGCATGATACTGGATAACGATCGCTACTGTTTTAGCTGACAAGACTTCCCATTTACTGATTCCTGCCAATGACTTGGACAGTAACGTGTTATCTATTGCTGATTCAGAGCCGTTAGCTATGTTTATCCTTGTACCCCTGCCGTCATTCATACAGATTAAGTCCCTGTCATCCATCAGATCTTCCATCACCCTTCCATTTGCATCGGCGCGTGCCTCACCCCCTCCTCACATTTTGCTGTGAGCATTGAAGTCAGCGCACCATAATACTCTGTCTGTTTTGTCCTTGTATTGTCAGCAATTTATCCAAGTCCAACCGCTAGTATGGATTGTCATAGTTCATTATTACCACATGGTGCCCTTTTTGACACACTTCTACCACTATAATTCCCCGATTGTTCCCCTTCTCCATTACCCTATATGGAATATGTTGTTTGATGAATGTAGCACAGCTCCTCCAACCCCCTGATCTCTATCTGTCCTTACCTCTGAATATTCATGAGTTACAAGATCTCTCAATGTCTCACGCAGACATTACATTGTTGATCTCAGTTAAAGTTGTTTATGCATGCACATCACTCATATACAAGGCAAGAACATTTATAACAGAGTTAAGAAGAACCGGACCAAAATAAAAAGTGATGATCTTCTCCCAGAGGGTGGCGGTATTGTATCATAATTCTGGCTGTTCACGATATGTAAAATTAAAATTAACTTTATATATATATATATATATATATAGCTTACTTGATGTCGTTGTTTGTTTGAAATTTCTGACATATAAAACAAAAGATGTAGGACTGCATTTTATTACACAATACGTTAATATTCCAAATGTATCTTATACTTAAAAAAATTCTTTGAGGAATTCCAAGCAGGTGCTTGTATACTGATGGCGTTGTGTCATACAAGCAGACTCATAAAAAGAACACAACGTCCTACAATTTCTTTAAAATGTCTTAGTAGTGTGTGACGTAGAAGCTATCATAAGTATGTCATGATATACATGGGGGGGGGTCGACGTGGTGCAGGGGTAGAGAGGTGGTTGGTGGTTTGAGCCCCGGCTGCTCCATGTCCCATGCAGAAGTGTCCCTGAGCAAGACACCTAACCCCTAATTGCTCCCCGGGCAAAAATGTAAAAGGCCGTGGGTTAAAAATGGATAAATAATGATAAAATGTGATTGAAGAAGAAGAAAAAAGGAAATGGCCCTCCTTTCAATACACTACATAAATAAAATAAAGAACACATGCTTTGATGGCATTTATTCATCGTTACATTGGCAGCAGTCATTTTAAATTTTGAGTGGTTTGGGTGAAGATGAACATTCCCACTGCCCTTTGCATTGCACTTCACTATGTACGCTTACCTGCCAAACCTGCACTAGGAAGCTCAAACATAAAGTGTGAGCTGAAGAAACAGATGACTGTTAAACATCCACCAAACGCCTCCCCCTTCATGTCCCCTCGTTCAACAACTGCCTTCTACCCTCTAGAGGGAAAAAAATTGGATTGCTGACGTAGCAGCTCTTGAGATTTGACTAATATTGCATGTGATTGGTGAGTTAGAGGGTGGATCCCCCTTTGGGCTCCACTTGCCCGCAGCATCAAGCCAGGTCACTTAACCCTGCGCCGAGCCTTGGGGGGAGGGGGCGGCTCCATGTGCAGCCAACGTGAGCAGAGCTGCTCTTGAGCGCAGTGGGTGCAGGGGTGTCGCGTCTCGCGGTTAGTGGAGGGAGTCCTGTGATGTCAAGTGGTGTGCGTGGGAAGCACAGGAGGCCCGTCGCTGCGTGTGGCCTCCATGTGGGTGGGTGTGTTGGAGAGGTGACGCTGTCAGGGAACCCGAGCGTGAGGTGGGACTCCAAAGTCTCGGCACGCTTGAGCTGACGGCAGTCATGGTATTTGGGGTTTGACCTTTTTTTGGGGTTTGACAGCAGGTTTTTGGATATTGACATATTGATATAGATTAATCAGTGAAATGCAAGAATTCAGCATTTCAAACTGGTGTACTCTGATTATTTGATGTCCCGCTGTTGGATGGTCACAAAATCACCAAAAAGCACTTATTATACGATAGTAGTTTTCTCTCTCGGTGCATTCTCGGTATCGAAAAAAGCGAGAAGGCCTCATATTTACCCAAAAGTGTGTTTTTCTACAACCACAATAGGTGCTGGTCACGGTCCCATCACACCCACTTTGTGAGTGCAAGGATTTCATCGACTGGCCCAACCGGTTCAGACTTCACTCACCCTAACGCAGCATTCCTTTACGCGCTATGAAAGTCCACTCTTACTGGTTGTGTGCTGTTCTTTTGCTGGATTGGCCTGTGGTACTTTTCACACAGCCCTGGTTCCTCCTTGCTGCGTGCACGCCGTGGTGCTAGTCCGCAAAATATGTGTATTACACAAAAACGGACAGACGGGAAGATGGAAGCAAAAGTGGAACTGTCGAGAGAAAATGTCGGCAGAACACCACGGCACACAGTGTTTTGACATGGTTGCGCGGCTGCCTGTCAAAAAAGGGAAATACATTAACTGAGGGGCAGATCCGCACACTGTAGTTCCTATTATTAAAAATAAAACTTAGAGAATAAAAAGACAGAAACGGTTGAAAAAAAAGGGTCTGATGTTTGAGATCTATTCATTGCAAGTCTGTATACACTTTGACCTGCTGTTTAGCTCAAATCATTTCTATGATAATAATTGCATATGGAAAGCACAGCCAAGGTTTCAGCCTGTTACGCTTTGTAGGGCCCTGTGGACTTCTTTTTATCCGCTCATCATATAAGTACATAAACTCAGAGTTTGGTTCCTCGTTTGAGTCACTCATCTTGAATATAAGATCCCTAAAAACAATGACATAAAAAAACCCACCTTAGAGGGATTCACTGCTCTGGTCAAACATTCACAGGAAAAGCTGCAGGGGATTTTTCCTTTGCTCTGAAACATGAGTTAGGTCTTGCATGCGGAGCCACACATAAGGTACACCTATAATTAAAATGCGCTGCAGGAAGTTTGCAAATTGTAGGACTGGGGCAACTTCTCTAGGAGAATGGAATTAACAACTGCTCTCTACATTTCACAGAGAGATCTTGGCTCAGTGATCTGAGCGGGAAAGATGACTCTATGCGTTTATGGCATCGTTTGGGCATCATTCCACAAGTTGATACAGAAGAATGTTTTATTCCCCAAAGTAGGCTGGAGACTTCCAAGAGAAATTCCTTCACTTCCACAGGGAATATATTCTACATAAAAATCCGCATAATAAATATATAATGCTTCTTTGTCAGGGGGTGAATTGGTTGGTTGGTGGACCCAGCTGTAGCTCATACCAGCGATCAGCCGGTTGATTCCCCCTTTTAAAAGAACCTGTGTTTGGTGCGCAGGGAGAGGACGGGATTAGGGTGCAGGTCAACATTCAACCAACGAATAGCCCGCTACCTGCCAAGCGAGGAGACCGATAGGTGATCTCGGTATGTGGCCTGTTCTACCTGTCCTGTCTGTGCGGCGGCTGCATTCCTGGTTCGTGATCAAGACGAGGTGGGGGGGGGGGGCAGATCCGCGACTACAAGGCTGTGCGTAACGCTCCAACCGGTTCCTCTGCTGCGCTTGCTGTCCGCCGGCTCTCCTGCAGGACCCGATCCTCCCCGCTCCGAGTGGGTGACGTCACCCGGACCGTGGCTCGCGGGGAGCCGCTAATGGACAGTTGTTTTTTTTTTTAATGCTTTTCGTTCCTTCTTTTTTTGTGGGGATTCGGGGGTCGATGCGCGCTTTTTAAACTTTGATGGTGTCTGTCTCGTGTGTTTGTATAGCACGCGCGCGCGCGCTCTGTGGTAACCCCGGGACATGAGTTGGTGACGTAACAGCGCGTTCATTTAGGTGGAGGGTGACCGGATGCTTGTGTCATCAACACGCCTTTTCAGTGAGCGACGGTTCCTCGAACGCGATTGAAGGAAAGGGGGCGGAGACAGAGCAGCAGGGGAGGGGCGTTACTGGAAACAGGTGGCCAAACCGGTGTGCCGGCCTTTTCCGGGACGTGGTTGGGACATATTGAAAGAGGCTCCCTGCATTATTAGTGCAAACTCTCGGCATGAAAGACCAAACGCGGCTGCACTCCCAGATGTGACGACATACGGCGGATGCACGTGGCCCCAGTGCACTCACGAAGGACCGTTTAACCCCAAGTCCTTGAACTATTGCAGCAGAAGTGAATTATCCAAACTGAATTACTTTACCGTGGTCCATGTGTCCGTAGGGACATTTTGTCCCCTTATAATTTACAAATGGACTAGATTTAATGTGGCAATACCTTGCATCATTACACAGGCGTGTTGCTTTTATTGCGTCTGGATGAGTAAGCCATTGTAGTCCAGGGATTAACATCCATATAAATCAGAAAATAGCCTGTTTGTTTAAAGAAATGTTTAACTTTGTGCTTAAGCATTTGTACTGCTGCTCACTGAGAGTCTTTTCACTGAACTGAACTTTTCTGTGGACTCGGCCCAACAAATAAAGAGAAAATATGCACGGCCAGGTCAGAATTCAAAAGATCATTGTTCTGTTAAAAGGTCAACATAGTAACCGGGTTTATAATCTTGTCATGGTGCACATAATAAAACATTTTACTGAACATGAGGTGTTTTCTGATGTTCTCCAAAGGTCAACCATCCTTTCCAATATTTTTCAGAGTAATTTAGGATTAGAACTTTTTGTGATCTTGGCTTCTGTAGTATTCCTATATCCTACTGCATGCATCGACATGGCAACGACAATTGAGAGATGAACTGTAAAATGCTCTTTTGAATCAGTAAATCAAAACCAAAAGCCTGTGAGTGGATTGTTGACCGTATTCTGCAGGTTGAGGTTGAATTGGGGTTCACTGCGTTTCCTCACAGCAGAGCAACAGGAAGGCTGCTGCTGCATTTCTCCTCAGTCTCCTTTATTGCAAGAGAAAACAAACATCCAACGTCAAACATCCTGGATTCCTTGGTAGTGTCGCCTCATGCTTGAAAAGTACCTTTACGATTCAATACAGATTTTTGCAAGAAATAAGATTAGAATCAACATTTATCGATTGTGATGAAAATATGAGCGACATTGATGTAAAAAGGAAACCAAAAATGCCAAAAAATGTACAGCGGATCAGTATCGTTGAGATGAGTCAAAACAAAGACTGCAAGGCCGTGATCACTGATTTACTAATCTCACGACAGACTGTGTTTAATTCAGACAGGATCCTTTTTTCCTTTCTGCTCCTAGCCTTCATGCTAACCCACGCTATTGATATTGTATTGTTTCCCGACAAGAAAGTGATAAAGCAACCAAAATGTTGAACCATATTACAACCTTTAATGACTTTTTGACGCGTTGCAGTTTGACTTCGGTTGGTGAGCTGCCCTTTTTGTGGGAGCAGTTACGTCATTTATCATTGAAACAATGAAGCGAAAGGTTTCCATTGGCGGCGTCAAACCGCCGGGTTTCACTGCTAACGCCGCTCAGACCTTCAGCGTCAGTTCAGTCCAGCTTTTGGCATGTCCATATTTTTTTATCTGGGTGAGAAGAGGAAGACAATGTTTTGGCCTTGAGAAAAATCCAATGACGAGTTAGTTGGGGACCAGTCCAGTGACGCTCAAACTGAAAGTGCAAAAGTCATGTGGCGGTCATGGGTCACGGGCCAGAGGCAGCGTCCCAAAGACATGCTCACTGTCAGCTTATCACCAGAATCTCTCCCCGGAAGACGATTCATCACGACGCAAAGCCAAAGCTCCTAAGATACTGTTGGATGATTGAAGCCCAGAACGTCATACAGTGGTGTTTGGCCCGATAAATCCATAGTGTCATAGGTCACTTGACATAGTTATACTTCAAAACAATACCCAGAAGCAAACCACAGTAACCGCAGCACTGGTGCATTAGCTTGTTAACTGTTAGAAACTTGGTTGAAGTACCGTAGATATACATTCTTCCTAATGGCCATCAAGGGGCAACTATTTCTCCCTTTACCTCAGTAAACATCTTAATCTTTAGTTTAAAGTCTTGTTTGATACACCTTGATGTTCATTTTTTAAAAGTCAAATAAACAATACATCAGGGTACGCTTTATGGCATGAGTAACAGGTCATTGAAAGGTCGCTTCAAATGGTTTGGGTCTTGTCCCTTTGCTTCAACGGCAACAGCAAAAAAGCCGACACAGACCATGGAAAATGAGACATTTATTAAGTGCTGATCTTCTAGAAAAAAAATAGCCATCAAAATATATACACTTTCTTTTACAACCAAAAAGCTTCTGGAGGTCATACAAATAAAAACAACACGCTAAGATGAGCTAGACTACAGTTGACGGTTTATTTATAGTCAGTCCAACCACAATGTCCTTGAGCTAGGCTATTGATGAGCTCAGCTGAACAAGTTACAGATCAAAAAAAGACAACATTAACTTCTTTATCGAAAAAAACCATGAAACAAAGTAGACAGGCTCTGACAACTCTCTGTAACACAGGCGATTACCGTTATGACATAGTCATTACAAAGGAAAGACGGCACTAAAAGTGCCTCCTCCCACTTCCTCAATGGAAATTTCAGTACCTTGCCAGTTCTCGAGCATTTCAGCATGGTTATTGCTTCCACTCTCAACTATGGCTTACATGTATGCACAGATTAAACAGCAAATACTATATACTATGATAAATCAATTAAACAGTACAATGTGTAAGAATATTGCGATAAAAAGCAATAAAAAAGTGTATAACCATAATAATATGCAAGCAATCATATATATATATATCTGCCATAACGTTTTTTGGGCCCAAACACTTCCCTATACAGTAATATGAGATTGAATCTAACTTCACATGAAAAAAAACAAAGAAAAAAGTAGTACATTCAGTTCTGTGGAATTCTAACTTTGGCTTTGAAAGAACGAGCATGTTGTTGGTCATTTTTACAATTTAGGGCAATGTTTAATCCCCAGGCGTGGCCATGCAAAAGCCAGTTGATCTCACAAGAGCTCGATTTGATTGACTTGGATTTAACAGTGGCGGCTAGTCCATAGTTTTTATCCAAAATAATGAATTGTGTAAAGTGCTGTGGGGCTTTTGAGTTGGTCTTTCCTCAACACACAGATCAGGTGTTTCTCCAACAAACTAAGTTCATAGGTGCATCTCAATATATACGTATATATACACATACATGTTCTAATAGATTTTATATGAATAGATTTATATTGTAATATATTTATCCTTTAATATAATACATTTATTATATGATAGTTATATTGGATATTTATAATAGTTACGATATGGTATCATATTCTGAATATTGTTTTATATATAAATATAGTTATATATGTTCATTGATATACTGAATTGTTTGAAAAATATGTCCTTGTTAAGTTAAACTGTTACACCGAAATACATGTTAAATATTTAACTGCAAAGTAATAATGTGTGTTACTTTTCTTTGCATTGAATCATACTGGGATGTTTACTCAAACTGATTGGCTGGCCCCACCAAAAAAAAAATGATATGCACTAAAATCCTCAACACCAGCGGCTGGAAACCAACAACCGGTCTTGAAACGGTTTGAAGGCTCTTAATGGAAATGCAGAAAGGTTCGGAAAGTGCATGGTTCTGGTCTTTTAAACATATCAAGAAATCTAATTTGTTAGGGGAATGGTTTCTTTCCAAAATAATATTGGAAAGCAAAGACCAATGGCTGCGTACCAAGCACCGTGGATGTTCAAGCAAGTGTAGGAACCACCCCTCGTCATGTCTATACTAAAGACGGAATTGGTTTTTAATCAATTGCACCTCCTAGAAACAATGCCTTTGTCTGGTTGTAGATTCCAAAGGATGTTTCGTCATTTTCCCACTGATGTGATAACCCAAGCAAATGCCCACTGATCCTTTGTGGATATGGATGAAGCGAAACTTCTGGCTTTTCAAGGCTAAACAAGACACAGCGTATTCCTCCGAGCTGCTTCAGTCTCCTTTTAGTTGCTTTGCCGAGTTGCTTTGATCCAGTCAGCCAAGGTCGAAAAGTGGCCATCGGATGCCATCCCATTGCTTGTCATTAGATCATAGCTGTTGCTCATAGAACGAGGAACCAGGTTGGTGTAAGTATTTTCCTGGCTTTCTCTCGGGGACTGCATTACGGAAGGGTGTGCCTCTTGTCGCATGACCTGGGGCTCCTGCTTCAGCTGGAAGCCAGGCTGAGGCCCTGCTCCCACCAGGCCCTTCAGAAAATCTTCCCCTTCCATTCCCCCGAGAAAGGGGAAAGCGCCCATCCCTTGTGAACCACCTCCTCCTAACCCGTTAAAGGTGTTCTGGGCTGGATTGAGCGTAGGGGAATTGGACCACATGGTTTGCAGACCCTGGTTCTGGTTGTCTAGGTGGTTCTGTTCCCTGGTATCGGACGCAAGCTCCTTTCTTTGGTGCTGCAGCTGGTAGAGCACATGGGGCTCTAACTGGCTCATCACAGGAACTTGGGGGGCTGGATCCAAGCACTGCAAGTCTGTCACGGACAGCTGAGGGAGGGCGTTCTGAAAGCCGCTGGGCTCCACTCTGTGCGTGTAACCAGAGTTTGGCTGCTGTTGCCTGCTGATATTATGACATTGAAGATTGCTAACGGCAACGGACGGGTTTACGGTGACTGTATCCATTGAAATTCCTGGGTTGGGATTTAGCCACGAATGGCTGACTGGCACATTGGGAGCCTGTGATGACATCATAACATTCTGAGCTCCTGGTTGGAAGGGCTGGTTGAATACAGGAGGTTGTTGCTGCATTGAAGGCCGCATGTTGCTAAGGTCTGGAAAACATACATTGACATTTACTGTGATAGCTGGACGGTATCATCCTGATCTGGATGGAATCGGTTACTTTCAGGGTTTGACATGCCACCATTGTAGTACGACGGAAACAAAGTTAGGTTACCTTTTCGCATGTAAGTCATGGTAGTCTGTGGCACCGCCTTTGGCCGGTTCATTGTCAGACTATTGAAAGGAACACCTAAAGAAGGGCCAGACACCTGGGTTACAATGCATACATGTACACTTATTCTCATACATGCACATGGGGGCATATGAGATGGGTTGAATTGGTACTGTAACTCCTACCTGACAATCCTGATATCCTCATCAATTGCTCTCTTTTGCGCTTTTTCTCGTTGTAGCCATAAGGATCTGAAGCAAACGCAAAATGGTTACACGTTTCACTCACATCCACCCGAGGCCCCTACCAGCCGTCACCAACGAATGGTGAGAGTTTCAGTTAATAACCGAAAGAAGAACTGCCATTACCTTTGTTGTCGGGCAGGTATCTAAAATCCATCGGTTCACTGACTTCCTGATCCGAAGGCCGGCGCAGTTGCATGTGCACGCTGGCCGACTCCGTTATCGATATGTCACGGTAGGGAGGAGTCTTAAAGACGATGGCCACCTGGCGATGAACGTCGGCCTGGGAGAAGGAGCCTTTGGCCTCCCAGCCGTCATCAGAGAAGAATCGCACCTCAATGTCGTCTGGAAGAAAGGGGGATGATGGGAAGACAGCAGTGGAAAACTGAATGAGCATGCAAAGAGATGGGATTCATGGACGGAAAACAAAGGAGAGAAAATGAATGCAAGATATGGAAAATCTTCAGACGAGGAAATTAGCTGATCGTAAAGACAAACAGAACATTGACTGTTTGTACCTTTCTGTACTTTGTCACACAGTAAGAAGATCTCGTCCCCTCCCTTGACGCTGCCACTGTTCCTGTTGACTCGACAGATCCTCAGCTCTGCTGTGTTTGGGGCCCCTGATGATGCAGAAACAGGTTGTAACTATGCAACCCAGTAGACACAATCAGAGTCAAACCTAATTCCACAAGTGAGATAACATTTGTATTTCAAACAGTGATAATGTCCGAATTTGCCTCGTCTTGAAAAAGAAAAACACCTTTACTCAGTTTACATATTTAGTCACATATTCCATGCCTTCAGTCAGAAGAGGAAGTGTGCCATGGCGACGGGCTTGTTGGCAGCTCAGAGTGTATAAAGAGCTTCCCGTTTCTCAATTGGTGTGAGGAACACTGAGCTGCTTCACTACCGTACACATGTGCAGAGGTCCTTTAATGAGCACTTTACGATGCAACGCTTAAATGAAGTGGTTTTTATCTTATGGCTATTTTATCTCCGGACATTTTAGACCATTATGATTTGGCTACTTTATGGTATCACGCAGCAATACAAAACATGTTACTATTTTATAATTTACCCACACTAAAGCACTGTTCATCTGAACATTTGATTCTCCTCGGTTTGCTCTCTAAAATTATATTTTGTCAACCAAAAGAACAGATTCAGAGATATTTTAAATACTGTTTCATTATTTAATTGTTCACAAATATACACAGTGTGTGACGACAAAGTGGACAAGCTCACAAAAGGACACGAGCTTTGATTTGAACCATAAACATTCCAGCTCTTTACATTCTTGGTTTATAGACAACCTGATGTTGAGAGAGCAGAGAGAGAAAGATGTGAAAGATGTGCACAAGAAAACGTCATGGTAGGCCAGAGAGCAGAAATGTAGAAGTACCGGAACTGTGTGATGGTGAGCGCAGCTTGGTCCTGTGTTAATACTGTAAAAACCTGTATGTTGCAAGTTAAATCTGGCCCCAGTGCCAGTAGTAGTATCATATAATAAAGAATTGCCAAAGATAATAAGATATTATTCATTGAATTGAATAGTTTGTATAGTTCCATGGCCACTGTTACTGAAAAACAAAAATACAACAAAATAAGGAGGCCGTACAAATCTTTTGCAACGGTATTCTCCATCCAACACATATCTGGAGGGCCTACTTCTACTCCCCTTGGATCACGTGTAACCTCGCTAATTCATTGCATTCTAAAAGGTGTTTATCGATTGATCAAATACTATGTAAGGCTCCAAATGTTAGCATCTTTTATTCACGTTACGTCGACACCAGCTCGTTCTGGTCACGCAGCATGAACACACCCAGGCCGGGCGCCGTCTACTCACTGTTGTCGTAGATGGGGTTGGTGACGATGGGGTTGAGCGGTCGGGTGAAGTGGCCGCTCTCGTCCTGCAGGAAGACCTGGATGCAGAGGCGCACCACGTTCAGGTCGTACTCCTCTGTCTGCAGCAACTGCTCACGTGGCACTGAGGGCGCACACATTTATACATAGGTGTCATTATCACAGCTACCTGAGAGATGAGTAAATGCATTGTTACTGACATGAAACAAACAACTTGCATTGTAAGCATAATTATGTATTATCAGCAAATGTGCAGAATTGAAATACTTTGAACGCAAATACATGTCTCTTTTAAAATATATGCCTCTATGAAATCATATATTATGGGACTAATATTGCATTAGAAGCATTTTGCAGCTGTAATTGGATGAGGGGGAGCCTCTGTGTATACTTCATCCTAATGCCATCGTGGCCAGCCACCACTAAAGGTTTGCACCAGCTCGGCTGTAATGTGGGTGGCGAATGTGCCAAAGAAACCGTGTGGTGAACAATCAATGAGAAACTTGTCAAACAATCAAAGTGTAGATGGATGGATAGACGGATCTCGTCACATGTGTAGGATCAACGCGTCACTGATAGGCTTTACGATTTCTTTCAAGCCTTTGCAGCCCACACTTGAGCTCAAATACAGACACGCATACACACGTCACACACACCGCCCTCATAGCTGACGTGCACCTCGAAAGGAGAGCTTCATAACTGAGAGATGCGCACACACACACACACACACACACACACACACACACACACACACACACACACACACACACCATGCTCTCACATCCGCCCTACTTTCTCCTTCTCCATCTCTCTTAATTTCTATCACACTCATGCAGAGGCCACCTCCCGCCTACAATTTGTCACCGCGGTGACGCTCCGCGACGTCACGCTCTGGGTGGAAAGAAGTGTGTGTGTGTGTGTGTGTGTGTGTGAGTGTGTGAAAGGCAGAGAGTGAGCAGGAGCACGAGTGACCATGAGGCCTCCTGACGTGTGTGAAAGTGGTGGGACTAAAGTCAAAGCTCAACTCTCTTTGAATCCTCGATACAGAGGAACACCTCAACGCGGGACGTAGGGGGAAACCCTCGCCCCTGACTCCTTGTGTCCCTGGACACATTTAGTAAAACAAATGTATTCCTCCAGCCTTGTGTCAACATCAACATGTGGGGGCTGATTAGCTCTGCGCCACCTCAGCTTTGTGGTCCGTCCTCGGGTTTGCTTTGTTGTAGGGGGCAGAGACCATGCGGAGAAAGACCGGCTGGGCTGGAGGGAAGAAGTATAGTGGCAAATTTGTGGGGGGGTGTGGGTGTGGGGGTGGGGGGGAAAAAAAGAGGGCCCATTTTTTTCCGTCTGCGGGGGTGCTGCAGCTAAAAAAAGGGATGGGGTCATTTTCTGGGGCCCCCCCGGGTTAAATGGACGGCCGGGTGTCGGGGGGGGGGGGGGGGCGTTGTGTGTGTGTGTGTGTGCTGGTGGGCAGTGGGTGGGTTTGAGTGGTTAGGTGTGAATGTGGGAGCGGAATTTAAGAGCGAGAAAGAAGGTGATGCAGGTGCCACGCCTTCACACCACAAACTGCGTCCCCACTGCGTGACTCACAATTTCACCGAGCTTCACACGCATCGGATCACATGTGCGTTTCTATTATATATTTTACACGCGCATTATAGGTTCATAACTACACAGACACATACAACGTATTTAATGCATGGAGACTAGAGAGGATGGTGCAGACATTGTTTTGTGGCACTGCCAACGTAAAAGGCCAGCCAGCGCAAACATTTAGGGAACTTGGAAATGACCAAACCTCTGCAGTGAACTAAACCCATGGATCCTGTCTACGCTCGTCATGCTTCTTCCTTTGTCATTGCTGAAGCACAAGAGAGTTTCAGATTGAAAAATGATGCGCTCACATTTTTTTTCTCACTTTTGTGCACCTGTAAACACACACACTTGAAACTCAAACCGAAACATTTACGAACGCCACGTTCTCGTAGGAAAAGCGCTGTCCCAATCTACTGCGCCCTTAATTGAGCCTCTGTCTGATAAAACAAGCGCGTGGCTCCACCTGCAACAAGAAAACAGCCGCACACCAAACTAATCTACCAGTTGTGGCACCACAATGTGAAATGAGAACAAATAGTAATACGGAAACACGTTAAGAGTTCACATGCACACAGACACACACACACCTACACAGACACACCTACACAACTTCACGCACACACTCTTCACACTAACACACACATAGATTTGGACTGACTAAAGGACGTCCTGTGTAACCTCTGCAGCAGCACATGAGCAGTTTTCAGTGTGAAAGCTACTGTACTACACACCTACACACCCTCCCACCCACACAAACTCACACTAACACACCCACACAGGATTCAGTTGTGCGTCGTTGCTAGCGAGTGAGCATAAAGTCTCACCCATCATCCACTAAAGTAGCGTAGTGCAGTAGGTTGTGGAGTGTAGTATGGGTGTGGGGGGGGGGAGAGTATCTCCCTTTACACAGGAAGCAGCTGAGTTTCACAGCAGAAGTGAGCTAAAGAGAGGGGAAGCTTAGCGACACAAAATAGAAGAGGACGGAGGAGCAAAAAAAAGACATCTAGCTGCCCGTCGTACGTCCTGCAGAGATAAATCCGTTTAATCTGATCGATTCAAACTGCTGATGACAATTCAAGTTGGCTAAAATCTTACAGTGTGTCCAAGCTTCAACTTATGTGGCCTCCGTGACTGTAAAATATTACTAGCAAGCAGGTGAGGCAAGAGAAGAGACATGTGGTGACGCTCAGTAGACAAACCACATGGAGTTACTATGGGTTCATTTCCCACTTGAGCTACTCGTATCACTGATCAAAGGCCCTTAAAGTAACTTGATTTGGGGGGAAATGTAACTTTTATGTCCCTGACGTTAATCAGAGCATCGGAGCACAAAACCAAAGTGTCGAATGTGAGCAGTTGGCAGATATCAACTCGAGCTGCTTCGGCCCTCACTTGTTGCCACTCGCAGAAAACACGCAAACAACAAAGTCCCCACCAAGCTCAAATTGCACACGTCTCAATCAAACATGCTTGTAAACGCACCCGTGCTTTTACAGTCCCGTAAAGCACCATAAACCTACTGTTATCGTCCTCTCAGGGAGCTGGGGGAACCCCCTTTGCCCCCCCCCCCCCCCACCCCACCCCACACTAATTTTTAATGAATCCCGCGTTCCCAGCCCTCACGTGGCATCCTGCACTGTGCCGCATTGAGCAACTGTGACTAAGAATGGGGAAGTAGGCTCACCCGCCTGTTTGTACACGAGAAGCGATGCCTGTCGGCTCCGGAGGACCGCAGAACGAAAGCGCATTGAGGAAATGGCACGGCTGCACGCGGTGGCAAGAGGGCCCGTTTATCACTCGATGCAGGAGAAGTGCTCTCCAGCGGCAGAGAACTGGGTCAATCAGCAAAACAATTCTTTTGAAATGTTTTGGACGTGGTTCACAGTGATGGTGAGGGGGCGTGGGGGCAACAGCAGCAGCATCACAAGTAACCAACAGTTTTATATTTCCACTGCTAATGTGAGTCTCAGTGACATATTAGATGTTATCATTAGTTGATGCGAGCTTCTTGGGGATAAATGCTATTACAGACACATTATTTCAACTGAGAAAAAAAAAAAAAAACAGCGACTCTCATCATCTCATCATTCATCTCATGAATGGACCAGAACCATCTTTTATGATTCCAGCCCCCCCCGGTATTAAGCATGCATGCAAGCAGGAGGACTCACCATTGAAGGGGTTGATCCCTCGGGTCATCCTCTGCACAATCGCGTCTTTCACTTCCCTCCTCCTCACGCACTGGATGCCCAGGTTCTGAAAGCTGCATGAATGATGACACAACATGGGGCCGTGAGGTAAAGGTGACGGCTTCCTACATTGATGATACAGCGGGGGCCCCGGGGCCACATCTGAGTGAAGTACGGCGTCGCAAAACGAAAGAAAAGAATGCGACTGCGCGCAAGGTTGTGAGCGAGGTCCAAGCGATTGTTGGATCATCACAAAAAACAATGTTTTAATGCTGCAGGTTTGGTCTATTTATCAGCATTGAGAGCCTGAGATTAATCAGAATTTACAACATGAGCCTGAGGTAAAAACAAACTAATGACTCTAACTCTCTCACACACACGTACACACACACCATTTGCAAATACAGGTGACGTCACTTCGTATAGTGATATTGCCGCCCTAATCACAGATCTGGTTTAACAAATATAATGTGTGTGTGTGTGTGTGTGTGTGTGTGTGTGTGTATGTATGTGTGCAGGTGTCAATAGCTCTCCTAAAACTCTAAATTAAAAGAAATTCAGAACTGTCAAGAGAAACACGTAATAGAGAGAAAAGTGATTATGATCTATTGAGCAAGTGAGTTTGTGTGTGTGTGTACGTGTGTGTGTGTGTGTGTGTGTGTGTGTGTGTGTGTGTACGCGTACGTGTACGCGCGCGTGCAACATAGAGGGTATTTGAATGACATCATGCCGAGTAAGACTGCGATTGCGGGGGGGGAGAACTCACGCGATCACCCTGCGTTCCGGGCCGAACTCGGCCTCGTAGAATCCTTCCTTGCAGTCCTTCCCCACCAGGTCGTGCGGATGCGGCCGGTACGGCTCGTTCTTGGTCACCAGGTGCACGCGCACCTTGCCTTTGCCGCAGTAATTCAGAATCTGCGGTCGAGGGTTAAGGGATGCATTTAGAGCCACGCACGCTGAGCAGAAGGGAAACGTGCACGGGGTGTGCGAGCTCCGCGGACGCACCTGCAGGCTGGGGTACGACCGGTTGTTGTCGGAGCTCTTCTCGCCGGGGATGCTGCCGGCCGAGCGACCTTCGCACTTGTACCTAAAGCGCATCCCCCTCTGCTTGGGCTGCTCGTAGATCTGCATGGCGGGCTCGGCCACTGCTGATCATACAGATGATGGGAGGAGGGGAGGGAAGGAAGGGGGGGGCGTCATAGGATCAGATATCAACTGTACACTCTGTATATGAACGTGTTTCTAACATGTAATAACCCAGGAGGCATTAATCTTGAAGACTTCAAAGTAAAGAGGGGACCAGAAAGATGACACTTTGACCTCAAAAGGATCTTGGGGTAAACAATCATTTGGTTCTATGACATATTAGAAATGTGTGGGATACGATTAGCACAATATCCAGCAGCAGGCTTTAGAGGTTTGAAAGCTCTGGTTGAGAATCCATGGACTCGCAGTTAGTCATGCAGTCGACAAAATGCTTATCCTTCAAAATCTTTCAGCATCAACACTAGCCTGAGGCGCCTTTTAACTGCAAAGCAATAAATAAGATTTGCTAATAAAAGAAGGAAAAGGGGACTGGGGCGTTTAAAGCAAGAAAAGGCATGAAATTATCTTTTGCATGAAACAGAAACTTGCCTCACATGATATCAGTGTGAGAGAGAAACTGGTTAGGGAAGTGTAAATCTGTAGAAGATTTGACAAAACCCCAAATGTGGACATGGCAGCCGAGCGGCAGGCCCTGCACAGCGTCATTAGATAGACGGCTGTGAAGCAAGTCTTGTTACATATCTGATGTTATTCAGAAATTCACATTTGCCACAATGGGGCGCTTGGCCTGAATCCGCGTCTAATGTCAGGAACCGAGAGGTGATGTAGATCACCAGCACAGAAATGTATAACATTTCATGTTGTATACAGATGAGGATTACAGGAACCTAAACACAAATTTACACTACTGACCCTGAAGAAAAAAGAAGCAATGAAATGAGGAAGTGAAAGAGGCCATTCTGTGCTTTCAGATATTGTTCGGATCTTTTAAGCGACAAATGGGGCATTAAATTGGCATTAGTATTAGTAGTGTGCACTTACTCAGGAGTGAATCGTCCCTTAGTATGGAGGACATAAGAACTGGGAAAAGGGAACATATACAAGGAGATAATTAGGAGGCACATACTTACAATACTGTATATAATTGGTGATAACATGACACATTAATAATATGTCAAAACAAATATGTTGTGTTTGGAAGAGCTCATTCTGTTCTGCTAAAGCTGTGCTGATGCTTATTCCACTGTCAATCATGGCAACAGGGAGGTTTTACAGTATTGAACGGATTCATGAGAAATAGTTTGGAATCATTCCTAATTTTAATAGAAATCAAGCACATGCTTCTATTGTACATTCAGGCTCAAGACAATGCACATACAACTCAAGTCACATAACCATTAGTAAATCTCACATTCTACCAGATAACATTGGTATAATAAATAGCACGTAAAGGTGTTACTCACCATCCATGATGCACGACGCTCTCAGTATTATCACAGGTCAACTTCTCCTGAATGAACCGAGCTGAGTGAGTGACAGTGAACCGGAAAAGTAACATTTGTTACATTAGACGAGGAGGAGGGGAATTCCCCCTGCGTTACCGCCCCCTCCATCTGAACCAACCAATGAGAGGGCCGTCAGTCAGAGAGAAAGAGGCACAAACAGAGGGAGGCCGCGGGGGCGTCACTCAGCTTGGTGCGCGCCTCAAAGTGCAGCGGGGGGGGGAGGGACACAGCACACAGGTGCGTTACACTCAGAATACTAATGTAAATGTAAAAAACAGTGATGATTGAACATTAAACTACTTGGTTTTTAGTGTTATTGCTTATTTGTAAGCTAAATGAGTGAGTCAGCAGCCTGTTAGGCACATAAGTTAATTCGTGTGTATGTAACCTCCGGCGGTTTCTCTATGTAAACTGAAAATACTCATTTAGAATGAAAATACTAAATTTAGGCCAGCATCTATAGACAAGTGAAACTTCTTGTCTCTTTCATACGAACACGTGACTGTTGATGCGCAAGGATAACTAATTAAAGCAGGAGCATTTCTTTACACTAAGTAAGGCAGCTTTAGTATGACCATTACATTATAAATGTGACATTTAAAAACAATTCTATATTGCACTGAACCAACATAAAAGATTTAAAAGTATAAATTATGCATTAGGCACTTTATTATATAGATTACGCGATCAAACCCCTTAGATGTTAACCAAACGTAGTCAATTTTGAAGCTTTCATATTCCTAAAATTCTTAATTTTGAGCATTGGTTTTAGTCTATTTTATCACTGTTTAAAGTCAGCATAAAGCATCTAATGTAGCACAGTAAACGATTACGACTCACAGACCAGTCAGCGGTCGCCTTGCCAATCTGCTTGTTGTGCCAACCTTAACTGTTTCCAACGGCCTACGGTTAAACATTTAGACCTAAGGAATGGATAAAAATGAAAAGGAATACATTATTGTATGACAATGATCTCCTCGGAGCATTCTGAATGCCATTTGGGCGGCGTGCTCTCTGGCCTCCCACCCCAGTGCACTTGCACTCCCTGCAGTCTTCCTACGCCGCTGCATGCAACAACAACAAAATGTAAAACCATGTGCAACAAAGAACAGACACAGACATAGTTTTTAGGGGTTTAATGGGTGTACGGACTCATTTAAAGGAAGTGATAAACACATACAAAAATACCCTTTCAATACATTTTTAGAAACAAACATCTAAATGACCTGCTTTGTTAAATGTTTCCAAACAGCAAAACCGAAGTCGTTTTGAAACCGAGTGGTGTAGATTTCGTTAAAAAGAGACCTACCTGCTATGAATGCTATTTAAAAAAAAAAAGAAAAGAAAAAGAAAACATGGTACAAATATGCAAAATATAAATAAAGTGATAAGAAACCCCCCCAGTAATGAAGAGTATGCCTTTGTTTATGGTGGTGGGGTGGAACTGTTCTCTGTACATTTATTTGGGCCAACTGATAACTGGAGAAAAAAAAAAGAAAGAGCCTGTGTCCCTGCGTCTCTCTCTGCTCCCAGGAAGACACAGCATCGCTTTACACTCTGTCGTATACACATTCCCATCGCAGCTGAAATCAAACATTCGCAGAGTTTAAGACCATGAAGATTTGGGGCTGGGGGGCCTGAGGCGGGATAAAGTTGTGTCTCCTCACTACCTGCAGCACCACCATCACTGGGAGATGCTTTCTTTTAAGAACCTCCACAGGAGGCGCGGAGGGTTAACACCCAAAAACAAAGGGAATTCCATCTCTCGCCAACGCATGAACACAACCAGTCTATCACTCACACACACACACATATGCATATACACACACACAAACCAGCAAAACTCGTCAAAAAAATGCTTTACACAAAGCACCGCAAACTTTTTCCACCTAGGACTTCGGTGGAGAGGGTCAAACGTTACCTAGAACAAATGCTTTTTTCCTGTTGAGCTCTGACTGTACCAGAAAATTGATTTCAGGTGCCGCACAATCACAGGTAGGCACACAAAACCGATATTGGAACGTTTTCCCATAGTCGTCTAAGCTGTGCAGCGCTCGCTCATTCGCCATTCAGGGCTCCGAACACACCAGGAAAGGGAGCAAAACTCCACCTTTTCTTCTAATCCAAGACATACAGTGGGCGTACGTAGCGTGGGCGTAGAGCTTTACAGCGTTACCGTACAAGGACGACGACTCATTTTCTTCTTCCGCTTACCGGCAGACCTGAGAAGCACTGGTGTCACTGGGCGCCGGCCATCGCTTTTGCTCGCATGTCCAATACCAACCAGCGGTCCCCTTTGGGTGGTCGTGGTCCAGTTGTGGTTTCTGTCGTATCCGAGCGAACCCCTCAAGGACGCCTCCAACTGTATCCAAACTTAAACAGTGTTATGCAAAAAAATAAAATAAAACGAGGGCTGGAGAATGTTTTTTTCCTTTTTCTTTTTTTGGACAAGCATTAGAGAAACAACAAAAAATAACATTTTTTAAACTTTTTTTTCCTTTTTAGATAAAAACTACAATAGAATGGTCAAAAGACTTGGTGATCTTTTGCTTCTTTTAAGACAAAAAAGTTATGTACATCAACATTTACTGTACAGGCTTCCGTTTGGGAGAGAAAATGAGGAAAAGAAAGAAATCAGCATACAACAGAAGTATGTGTAGCAAGCGATCAATAAATGTTCTGGGCTGTTTTAAAACATGTTGATTTTGGGGGTTGGGGGAGTGGAGGAGAAAAAAAAAGGAAAATAAAGAAAAGAACAGCTCCTTTTTCTCCTTCACTGTGTACACGTTTAAACACCGAGGGAGAAGAGTAAAAAAGAAATATTAGTTCTGGTGCCGGCTATCTCTGTGACCGCGGTGTCCAAAAGCCCTCTGCCTGTGCGCGGGACAGAAGTCGCCTCGCAACATCTGGTTTGACCGATTCGCCCAGCCACTGTCCTCTAAAGACTCGAGGGTGAGGTATCCTGCTGCTTCACACTTGAGACCGACCTGAACCAACCTCCACCGCCCTCCCCTCCCCAAAAGTCGTCTCGTCTCCTCTTATTCTCTACGCATGTATAAATCACAGTCTGTATTTGTGTGTTCAAGCTATGTGGATCCTGGCCTTTTCCGTCTCTTTGAGCCGCTTGGCCTGCTCCTCCAGGGAGGGAGAGTGGGGCCTCTTGGCGGTCGCTCCGTTCAGCGGGTCGGCCACTCGACTCACCAGCGTGGGGATGGAGCTGCCGACGGGCGGCACCGCGAGTTTGGACGCCACGTGTTCTACGGAAGGAAGGAGAAGGGTTGTTTATTTTGATTCCGCTGTGGTCCTTCGATACACAGATACCACGGTCAGGGTTTTCCTTCACTTACAGCTGTGAACGAACAAAGTGTCAAAGTGTGTGTGCATATTATTGGTTATTTGAGTTCTTGGCTCACGTTTGCTACCTGATGACTTTGAGCCACCAAACTTACCTGATGAAGTGAAGAGGGATATCTCTGAACATAACCCCACCAAAGGCTCGGGCACATTGAAGGTGGACTTTTTTTTTGTATAATTTTAAATATTTCAAACAATTTATTCTTATATCACTTAACGCAATGAGATCTTGTGCACGTACTTGAGCCGATGACGGGAATGGACATGCCCTTTTCTTCGACTGCAGGAGGAGCGTCGGCGGTGACGGGGCCCTCACACACTGTAGGCTTGGGAGGTGTGATGCTACGTTTGATTAAAAGCAAGGCCGAGGAATTAAGTTAAAACATTAGAAAGGAAATAAAATCAGCAGTTTCTATTTTTGGGAAAATAGTTGAGGCTCACTTATGGCGATTGAGGGCCAGTTTAATGGAATTCTTCACGACGCGGCAGCTGTTGCTGGCTGGTAGAGGCGAGGAGGCGTCTGGCAGCTCCATGCTGGGAAGTCTCTGAGGAAGTGGCGTTAGAGATCCGTTTAACACGCATCTGGGAAAGCATTATTTCTGTGTGCCGCTCAAGCTGTGGAGCTTTGCAACAACTTGAAATCATTTGTTTTATAAATTTAAGTGGCTGCTTAAGTCTTGATGATGTGAATATGAACCAGATATTGTTCTGAATAGATTAGATTTAAGGGACTCCATGACGACTAAAAAAAATGTGAATACAAACGCTTCTATCAAGTTTGGGGACAAAAACAATACATTTACATATAAGAGGCTGAAAAAGGGAAACGAGGTATAGCTGAAGAGGGACGTATTTCAGCTACAACATAACTTTAAGTACAAATGTTTATAGTTTTCAATCAGTCAACATAAAATACTTGGGTGGGTGGATTTAATATATAGTTATGAACATAGAGTATACTTTTTTTTTGCTTCGACAGAAGCCACATGGAGAAAAGACGTTACCTGTGTTCTCGAGGTATCGATGGTTGGAATCGGCTTCGCCTTTGAGCCGGAGAGGGCGGTCTAATGGTTAAGAAAGGCAAAGTGCAAAGATTAATTTTGCTTTGTCTGCCTGTCCATGGGAACTTAAAAAAGCATGAGGAAATAAGACCTACTTCTCCCTGTGTGCATGAGTCTGAGGACGGCGGATATGGCTCTTTAAAAGCAGAGTCATCATTTGCAACCACCTGCAACAAAAAAAGTGTCAATTTAATCTACCGTTTTCATAACCAAAGACATATTTACACACAGCACCTCCTTGTCCTCCTCACCTCTGTCTCTTTGTGCCTCTTGGCCAAGTCCTCTTGCGTTGGCGAGTGCGGTCTCTTGACAGAGGCGCCGTTGACCGGGTCCTCTAGGCCGTTAGGCTCCTCTTGGGGGCTGCTGGCGGGGTTGGGCTCCTCGTCGCCGCTCTGCGCCGTCGCCGAGGAGCTGCTGGCCGGCGGGGAGGCGGGCTTCGCTTTGGCCGCTGGCTCTTCGGAATCAAAAAGGGGACAAAGCGAGAGCAAACTGGAATCAAATTATTTGTTTTTTTCGACAGCCATCAAAGGGACGAGCTTCTATCCCAACAAACGTTTATGAATTAATTCATATTCTCTGGATCTAAAGAGTTTGCAATGGATTGTAATTATTTTACGGACTCTTGATGCAAATATTCAACAGCCTTTCGCACAGTGTGGAATAGTCACTGGAAAAATCAACTCACTGGAGCCAATAACAGGGATGGACATGCCCTGGTCTGTAGCAGTAGCTGCTGCTGCTGCTTCAGCACCGGGTGCTGGGAAGGCCTCCA